TCCAATAAGTAAACTGTAATGAAGGAGAGCAGAATTATCCAGGGGCATTAGCAATGCCCGCCCCCCCCGCCCCAACTAAGAACAAGTGAGTGGCCTCCGTCGGAGGACATCTAGCAAGTAAAGGCGGTCCGACTGAGGAGGAGTTAGAACTAGCACTTTGAGCGGCTATAGCAGCCTCCACGCTCACAATAGAGTCGCGAAAGGTGAACATCTTCTAGCTTGGAGGCTAGACTACTTGCACAGCAAAGGCGACCACGAGCGCCTACTTTGATCGCGGAGGGCTTGTCTTTAAATAGCAGCTCCGCCAACCGATGAAATGGTGCTCGGCCTAAAATGCTAGTAGGGCGCTACATAGTGGGGAAATGGTGAAAGAACGGAGTGAAATGGTCAAAATCCTGCGAAAAAAGAGACTCCGTTCTCACTGTGTTTAGTAATCAATTTTGGACAGGTTATACCGAAGGCATCTTACCAATAAGCGCTACCGAAGGTACGGCTGCATATGTGTACTCATATATCCATGCAGCATCACGACCGCTTCATACCAATGCCTTCGCTTCATAATTTGCTTAGCAAATGAATCAATATAGAGCGATCCTGAGGGCATCACAGTCGTCCATTTGTGGGCCGGGGCAGGGCGGGAGCGTTTGAGGAGCGTAAAGTTTGTGGCTCCTTGATAGCACGCCGCTTAACTAGAGGCAACTTCCCTGGAAAAGGCATTAATGACCGCTCCTGCTCAAGGGTGCGAATCACCATCCTGCCAGGCCCGGCGTATTAGTCGCTGCTCGTCTTGGAGGATTTATCGTGGCGCAAACTGGCCTTCAAACAGATCTTTCAAAAAAAAAACTTTGAACAAAAAGCACAAGTTTTTGAGGATAGCTATCTTTTCAGTTGGATATGGTCTGTAATGTTCAATGTTCTACGTGATTACGACTATTTACCGCAAATGGTTAAAGATCAAGAATATTTATTCGGTATTGCAACACATTGCATAGCAATGACATCTACGGTACGTTTGAATATTTTCAACAGCAAGACACCTTTTTGAAAGGGATCAAAAGTGTCAAATTTCAGGTCATGGAATCCCTCATCTTTCAGCTATGGCTAACCTACAAGTTGAAAGACAGCCCTTCATTGAAATTACTTCCACAAGCTATTCGTATGAAGTTACGATTAGGGAACGACCATTCTGTTCGGCTGATAAATGGAACGCAACACTCCATGGTAGCAGGACCGGCGCTGAAGTATGGATCAAGCGATAACCAACGGCAGGTAGGCAGCCTGAGATGAAATGGAACTTAAAGGCTGGGCCCGCATTCAATTTTGATGAGTTATGCGGCTCAAATACTTATAACAAGGTAGCAAGTAACCCTTAGTGAAGAAAAATCAGAAAGAAATCATAGGAAAGGCTCTATATAGAACCCCTTGCTTAATTGAGGTTGTACGTGCTCAAGGCGAAGAGAAGGTGCGGTCGCACGAGTTCTCACTTGTTGATATCAGCTGTTTTCCCTTATCACCTCACTCTCACCACTCGACGTGGAGAGAAGCAGCAGCGAAACAACCGCACCATCAGATAACCATTAGGAATGAGTGGAGGGCGGTGCCAATGATTAGGGGGTTGGGCCAATGAGAAGAACGACGGTATCGTGGGCCTCCTCACTCGTTTTTGCGCCGCGAAAGTGGTGTAGTTGTTGCCTCTGCGGACCTGACTACCTGCTCACGAAGGGAGAGGAAAATCTCAACTGAACGCGGACGCTGCCTTTAAGGCAGCTTTCAATTTTCAATGGCAGGGGTTGCTGTAGCGATGTTGGCGAAGCGGCTGCGTACATCCAGTCATAGGCGATCGTGCCGAGCGCTAGTGGTGATCCCTAGAGCCCATTGCCATATGCCCATATCATGATATCTGGTTCCAAACGAACTTTTTTGATATTCGTGAATTCAAATCAATTTCTTGGAAGTGCATAACCTGGACCTACTTATTACATTCGATATCGTTGCAGTCCGACGGGGTAAAGTCAGGAGGAATGCAGTGAGCTCTCCCGTAGCATTGGGTTGATTACTGCTGTTGTTAAGAACGCGCGGGCAGTACGCGTTCCGAAAAGTTTTATCAAAGTAATGCTGAGTTGTGGGCAAGAGAGGTGCCCCCAGGCGGGAGGTTGAGCCGCGCACCTCACACTTTCGGCGACGTGCGCTATTCGTTACGCACCAGGGCGCATTTTACGGCCTACGGCATTATGCCGGTTAAGCCTTACACACTATACGTTAAAATGGCCGTCACCTCACACCAAGTTAAACGTGTGAGTGCTGTAAGGTTACGGCATAAGCCGTTAAGCTGAGAGGGTAAAAGCGGCCCTGGTGGCGTAACGGATAGCGCACGCCGCCCGGAAAGCGTGAGGTCCGGATTTCGACTCCCGCCTGGGGCACGAATTTTTGCCCACAACTCAGCAGTTCTTGGATAAATCTCCGAGCATTTTTCTTCGCCCTGGTTTGTTCTCCCTACTGAGGCAGTATTCGCGACATTGCGGCAGCGTGTCACAGGCGACCAATTAGTGGTCCATTCCGCTCTCAAGGCGTGCCGGCGGGCGTCAGCGTATAGATAATCGATCTGAGCGTCTGCTAGCGTCTACTAGGGCGTCACGCAACGTTCACAGGACGTCGAGTGGCCGGGTTTGCGGGCCCGGGAGTAGAGAATGTGGTGCGGATGGGGGCAGGGGTGGGCAAACAGCTGGATTAGGCGTCGTGGAAATTGGATTGTGGTTGTGGCCTTCGCCCACACAACTGTTGAAGGGGCAACAAATTATGACGTTTAATGTAGCGGTGCAGGTGTAGTTGTCCGGTTTGTACGTGCGGGCTGCACACGATCAGACGCGCCGTCGCCGCCGAAGTTAGGGGGTGCCGGCAATTGCGCTCCCCGAGCCCAACCGAACGTGACTCCTAATCCAGAAGTTTTGACCGCTGCACATCGACACCAATTTGTTGGTTCCCACTAGGCCACCACATACACACAGTCCTCTACTGCGGTAGACACCGGGTAGCTGGTAGACGCTAGACTCGCATCGCGAGAAGGAGTCTGTACTTTCCTATAACGTTAAGATGGCCAGGCAGGGCTTGAGCATAATCCTCCAAGACGTGAAACTAGGATCAGTACTCCTGGCAGGATAGAATTCCGCGACCCTGGGCAGACGCTGCATAGCGGTTTCCCCGAGGAAGGTGCCCTTATAAGGGCCCTATCAGCCGCCAACTGTCTGCGCGTATACGTCCAAAACGCCCGCTAAAGGAGATCCCGCCCGCACATAAATGGAACGACCGGGTTCCTGACTATCATATTCGATTTGGCTGAGGCAAGTTATTGAAGCAAAAGAGAGGATGGTATGAAGGCGACGTGGAATGCTGCATCGCAGTGCTATGGTTCACGCATGAGCGTAGTCTCACGTAGGAAAGGGGTGATTGAGGTAAGATGCTGAGGCACGACGTCGTCCGAAGTCGGACAGTTTACACAGGCTCGCACCTGAGTCAGAGTCCGGGAATGGTCAGCAAACGGAGGACGTCCGGCTGGGCCGCGTAACCAAAACCGCCGATGAAAGCCCGATCTTGCAGGAGTAGGGGGGCGTTGGGGGGCGGAGGGATTTTGACCGTTTCCCTGCAGCTTTTCAGCCATTGGCAGGTCCCAGCTGCAGCGCCCAGTACGTAGCATTAAGCGAAAATACTTAGGCTATGGAAACATCGTGGCCAATGGGCCTTTATAGGACGCGTGGACAGGAGCAGCGTTCGGAACGCTGGTGGTCGCTGGTGGATGCTGCCGAAAGTATGAACGTAGCCTTAGGTAGAAAACAATCTGGGGTAGAAAATGCCACGGCAGGCTCAGTGCACTTCTTCTGACATTGACAGCTCTTGACGTCGCTGATGGAAGCTGGTGAAGGCTGGTAGACGCTGGCAGATACTAGATCGATACCTATACTTTCCTAGCCCTCGAGACGCTGGCAGACGCTGGCGGACGCTGGTAGACGCTGGTAGGCGCTGCCGCAAAGTATGGATGCAGTCTAAAAGGCGCCACTTGCTAATTCAATTTTACCTAGATAAAGTTGTGTATTAAAGTGAGAACTACTGCATGCACCAGTGTTTGATAGTGTCATACTCCCTTATATCACTTCATGCTCATATGCGAATCCGTTTCAGACTGATCTTTGATGATAGACCACGATATAAAACGCATTACGTGGAAGGTTGCGTTATAGCTGAGTGTGCAGATCCTCAGGCAACTACGGGACTTCTGCTATGCAGGCCCTCTAATGGAAAGACTCATCCTGCCGATCTATAGTGTGTCATAATTAGATGTGCTCATCAATTTATTCGATCTACAATCTCCTCCAAAGAACTTCCCACATAGTCCAGGTACTACTGTCATTTCTATATTTGCATTGTTTTTTTACTTTCAAGTTACTTATTTTTCACAAACTTTACTAGCAGACCAGTTTGGGAACCCCTTTTCTTTACTGTGGAGCAACTGTTGTACCTTCGTCATGTATCCCATAATTCTCGTCCGATTTTTATTCAATTATTTTTCTGTTCCACGACGAGTCCTCCAAAAAGCTATAGGTCAGGGACAGTTCCCGTGATGAAAAGGTCCGCGAAATGCCTAAGTGCACCTGCCTCACTCGAAACGGCGAGATAAAGAAGCTAGAGGCGCGTGAGTATTGCAACCATTGCAACCACGATTACTTTCACTCTGCAAGACAACGGCTTACAAGCGAGATGCGTGTGTACATAGCGTTGCCTGAAGCGTCGTAGGGCGATTTCCTGTGGTCGTATCCTGCTGATTGGGCTTGCCGACGTCCGACAAACTCGTCTAAGGCGCCAGCTGATAAGGGGGTCTCTGTTCAGAGTGTTTTCAAGGTTTTTTTTCGCTTCTTTCTCTACTATGGGCTCATATGAGCTACTGGTTCATGATTGAGCACCTACTACCCGTAACAGTTGGTCGCGGGAATTGTCCGTCAGCTTGCATAAAATCTATGCTCTTGCCGTTTTTTTTTCATTCTTCAGCAAATATATTCTTATGCTTCCAAACTCACAATATACGATTTTCAGGAGAAATTAATCCTGAAGCGTTCATTCAAATCAGTCTACGCTGTACTGAAAGTGTCATCCGAACTGACTACAGGGCATCTACGATGTGGAGCATTTGGAGGAGAGTGCTGCTCAGTTTCTGCTACTTCTTTCGTTTCTTCAGGAATACCTCAAAGAATTTACCTTATTCATGAGATCGTATAAAAACTGATCCAGCCAAAGTGGAATCATCATTCTTTCGGAGGCTTTCCGATATTGAGCTATGATTTTGAGGGCATGGTCCTCGAAGGACTAGAGTTCTTCTGGCCGCTGCAGAAGGCGTGAGCAATTCCGTAAGTGAGATATACCGTTGCTTTCGGCAGATAGCAATCAAAAGTTGCTCCCTCCCGACCTTCTTCGACAAAGGGTGGGATTCAGAAATCGTTTTGAATGGATCGTGACCAAGCCTAACGCCTAGTAGTGTAGAAGGCAGTGGCGGCCGAGAGACCTGAGTCGTGGTAAGCGCAGGAACTAAGTCACGGGATGTACGAAGGCGATACGATTCGTCTTCGCTGCAGGACGTATTTCATGGTCCGGTCGCTTGACGCCATTTGCTAGGATATCTTCGCCACGTCGCCACAACTTGGATTTTCCTGGCCCACATTCGAGCACACATGTGTGTGTGCGCGTACCTCTAGAAGTTATTTTGGCTTTTTACGGTTGAAAAGTCCAGGGGAGGGAGAGGTTGCAGAGGGGGGGGGGGTTCGGTGTGGAAATCCTATCCTGATTTGCTTGAGGCTTACAGAACCCCTCTAATTAGTGATCTGGGATCGGAATACCCTGCTTGAACGCCCAGGAGGACTGTGCCTTTTACAAAATTCATAGCCGGTGGGAATCACTATTGCTGAGAATCTCACTTCTCTCATCTCATATTCTCCTCCACTTTTTCCGGTGATTTCCTTCGACATTCTCTTCGACATATCCTTAATTGAAAGTCTGTGCCACATACTTTATGCCTGTATTTTGTCCCCTTGATCAGTGATGGTTAGTATTTCCATGGGTGCGTGATGTTAAATCCACGTTACAGCTACGCCTGCATATCACTAGTTCTCACTAGTCAGTAGAGTCGACATTATGCAGCACCACCTCCTTGAAGGCAGTTGGCACGATAAATCTCTAAGAACGAGTAGGACTGATACCGCCTACCAGGGTCCACACAATCCTGTGATTCTGCGACCCTAAGCAGGTGCTGCGTAGCGCCTTTTCTGAGGGAGGCACCCTTAGAAGGGCCATATCGAGCTACAACATTACGACCCGAGCGCCCACACACCCCGCCCACAAATGGACGACCGTACCTGATGCTCATGTATTATTTGCTTTATTTGCAAAGTAAAATATGAAGCGAAGAGATTGGTATGAAGTGGCTGCGGTGCTGCATGGATATATGGGAACGTACATGCAGCCGTACCCACCGTAGCGGTTATTGGCAAGATATCTACGGAAAACTCGTCCAAAATCGTCAATAAGGACGAGGTTTTTCTTCGCAGGTTTTTGACCGTTTCACTTCGTTTTTTCGCCATTTTCCCCTATATGGCGCCCTGCTAGCATTTTAGGCCAATTAACAGAATATCGTGCCAACTGCCTTTAAGTCAGTTAAGCCCTGGTGTGAATGCCGCGCGCATGACGCCGCTTGCAACGCCGCGTTCGATGCGCCGCTGCAACGTGGATGTAACGTGTATCGTGTCCAACCAGCATTTCCATTATCGTTTAATTTCACGTAATTTCTTATACATTTCTGATCCATGTTGTTAGCTGAAAATCTCTGATTGAATTATGTTATCACTGGCGGCTCAGTCAAATCACTGTGAAATCTATAAGATTCTGAACGTGTCTTTAGTATTCACATATGTTAATGCTTCTTGTATTTTTTATGATGGGGTATTTGCATTTGGGTAGAAAATATCACTATAAATTATACTGCATAAACAAT